GTTCACCTTCCGCCGATCTCCTCACTGGAATGGCGTAGACGCCCACAAGGAAGTAGCGCGACTTCTTGCGATAGTCCTCACCAGCGCGGAATGGGCCACAGACATCCATGCTGAGCGTCATTGCGTCTGGGTGTGGAACCTTTCGATGTTGCCGGCTCTTCCCTCCCCCTTTCAAGCACGTGGTGCACTCCTTGGAGAACGGAACGTGGTCATTGAGGACATGCTGCTTCCATTGCTCCGTGGTCATCTTTGCCACATTGGTTTTGTCCCCTACCCTCAAACCTCCGCTCCTCCCGTCCAGCTCGAACACCACGGCCTTGACGATCTCCTCCTTGAACTTGAGAGGCCATGCAGCCCATGCCCGACTTTGCGAGGTTCGCTCTTCGATCGATGCATCCACCCCCACAACCTGCTGTCGCGAGCGGTGGTCCGTCAAACCATCCAAGCAACACAGCAGAGGGATGTTGGTTCCCAGGGTAGTAGGTTTGCGTCTCTCATGGCCTAATGCTCCCAAGTCCAGCCTGACCTCCTTGAGCTGAAAGCGATCACGAAACTCTTCCCACTCTGGCCACGCATAGAACGATGGATACTCCACCGGATCATCTGGCTGCTTGTACTCCTCTGGATCTCGTGGATGTTCTTTGAGGAATAGGACCGTGCGACTCCGTGCCGCACTTGCCAGAGAATACAGCCACAGCTGACGCATCCACAACACGACGTCACCAAAAGCCAACTCTCTCATTGCATCGGAAAGGTCACTCAAAGCGAACCTCTCTGGCCCTTTTCTCGCACGAAGAGGAGGTGGTCCAGGACGACGAAAGCGCAGCTTTGAGACCGTCCTGCATGGCGGCCCCCCAAGCACGACATCCACGACACCCTTCTCACACACCTCCGCCAAGAAACCTGTGAGCTGGTCCGACAAGAGGTCCTGCGCCGAGTCGACAGTCTTGTCGATGCATAGCACCGTTCTGGTGTTCGATTCAAGCTGCTTCTTCCACCAAGACTGATCCGGGCCGGAGAATAGGTCCAAGATCACCGAAGAACTCGACATGACTCTTTGTCTCTGACAACGATTCAGTGGGACGTACTCACCTGACCACTTCCCCATCGGGACCACTCTTGCAATGAGCTCATCAGGAACTTCAGGCCACATCTGCCTTAGATCTGCCAGCCACCTCCATACGCACGGAGACAGATCGCCAGGATTTCCAGCTCGAAGTGCGGCTACCCGCCGACTCATGTCCTCCTCATAGGTCTCGAGCTCGCCAATCAGTGCCTTCGCCACCTTGAGCTCGACCGTGGGGCATCCTGCTTCGAGAAGAACTTCGACCCTTTTACCAGACGGATCCCAAAGCTCAAAAGAGTCATTCTCCCACTTGACTTTATAGCCGAGCCTCACCACTTTACCCAAGGGCACGATGATTTGGGTGTCAAAGTCCGTCAACAAAGTTCCAGTGGCCTCCACCTGCCTCAGAGTTGTCACCCCCGCAGCAAGCTCCACCTTGATGGGGATGGCCTTCTCGAACTCTTCCTTGCTACAAGCAGGTCTCAAAACATGCGTAGCCCCACCATCCAAGAGCGCTCTTCCAACACCATCCTTGGGATTGACGGAACGCATGTTGAGTGCTTTGATTGAAGGCCTCAACGACTTCAACAACTGCACTGCCTCCTTGACCAAATCCTCCGAGGGCTGGACTGATGGCGGAACGAAGGCAACCGATGACGACGCTTCCCCAGGCATACCTCCTCCGACTTCCCCACCTTTTCCTCCTCCCTCTTTGGACTTGTGGTCCTCCCCAACCTCCTTCTTGACCTTCGGCACGTCCTTGACGGGGCAGTCCGGCTTCATATGCTGAGACGAGCCACAGTTCCAGCAACGGCCTTGTTTTGAAATGCCCTTCCACTCATGCGGGAATGAGCACTTTTGTCCCTTTTTGCATCCGGTTTCTGACAGAAAGTAGCGGCAAACCGGCTTGTCGCTTGCACTTCCTTTGGAGTCCCCCTTGGAAATCTTGGCGTCAGTCTTGCCGGTCTTGGAGTCCTTGGTGTCCTTGGGATCCGCGTGATCCTTGGTCTTGTCCTTGTGGTCCCGCGGTTTGCCCCCATCATCCTTCACCCCTCCATCACCGTCCAAGGCCTTGATTTTGACCGAATCTTTGATCGGAGCTGGTGAACCCCCATGGAAAGCCGCTTCACCTTCTGCAAGAAGAGATTCAGCAAATTGTTGAATACCATGTTCAGTTGGTGCGACATCAATGCGCAATGCTGCCCTCGTCACCTGAAGGCGGAAGGCCACCTGTGAAGAGTGCTTTGCCAGATTTGCCGCATAGCGGTCCAGCGTCGCCAGCAGCAAAACAAGATCCGGTGGTTGGATCTCAAGCTCCTGAACACGTGTGAGCCAGCGACGCCAAGCCCTCAGCGAAGTGAGCCATTCACCCAAAGCTGCAGGGATCTTTTGGTCCACGAGCTGCTTAAGCAACGTAGTCCTCTCGCCCAAGCCACCGGGCTGGTAAACACGCAAGATCTTGAAGATGATGCTGACCGATCCAACTTCACGCTGGGAGACCAACTCAGCACGGATGGAGTCCGGGATCGCCTTGAGCAGAGCCACTGAGCCCCTCTGCTCGATTCTAAGCCAAGGCGGGCGTTGAAAAGCTGGAGGAGCAACTGGCACCAACCTCAGACGTTCCATAGGTTCGGAATTCAACCAGACCCGATAAAGCGCTCCAGCCACATTCAAAACTTCGTCCCACCAGAGTGAAGAGCTCGAACTCATGTCTCTCAAGAACGGGCCGATGGTAGTCAACCAGTCTCCAGCGATCAGCGGGCCGATCTCAGATTCAGAGAGCTCCTGCAAGGTCGGAAGTTCCACAGCCCTGACCGATTCTTGCTGAGCCATAATGCCACCCAACCACGCAGGAAGACCTCCATAGGGCACCCCAGTCCGGGAAAGCCACCACCGCCCGACCAGGAAAGCCGCCGCCGCCTGGGCCAGGAAAGCCACCACCGCCTGGACCAGGAAAGCCGCCGCCGCCTGGGCCAGGAAAGCCACCACCACCTGGGCCAGGAAATCCACCACCACCTCCAGGTGCACCAGGACGCCCAGGAAAGCCGTCTCTCCCCGAAGGTCCGTTGGGAAAGCCCCCACCAAGGAATCCACCCTGACAGCTCCCTCCATTCGAGCCACCTCCGCCTTGATGAACTCCTCCTTGAAGTCCCCCATGGCCTTGCCCTGGAGCTCCCCAACCTGGATGACCTCCTTGATGTCCACCTCCTTGGTGGGTCGAGCCCTGAACTGCATTACCTGGAAGGCTCGGTTCACGAACAGACGGCTCGTTCTCACTGATGGCCTCACCAGGAGCACATGTCGTCTTACCTTGATCTTGTCCAGCATCACCTGAAACACCGGCGGCGCCACCCTTGGAACCCCCAGTCTCATAGTAGGTGCTTCCATTGCTAAAGCCCTTGCCTCCAAGAGCTTCCATGCCACCAAACCCTGAACATGCCTTGGTGAGCGATCTTGACATGTCCATCACCCCCGGAATCAGGGATTGAACCACCCCGCCAGCTGCTGCAGATGACATACGATTGAAGACCTCCATTAGGCTGGTTTTGGGACCATGTTGATGAAATTGGTGCCCACCGTAATCTCCCTGACCACGACCACCAAACATTGAACCACTTCGAGCTCCGTTGCTCGCCAGCGAACCCATAAGCCCCCCATCCATAGAATTGCCCGGTGCCATCGGAGACCTCAGTGACCCCCACATAGAACCCCAAGCAGCCTTCTCCTGAGACATGCCCTGATTCATCATCCAAGCTGGTTGTGGTCCCCAGGAACTCGGTTGAGAGCCCCAGGCCTCTCGCTCACCCCAAAGACGAGCGTTCTCCGTGAGGAGCCCGTGGATGATCGCCCTGAAGGTCTCCGGACCCTCTCTTGGCGGACTTGCAACAGGTGTCTCACCTGGACGAACCTCTGTGGAATCGGAAGGGAGATCTGCCGGTCTGATTGCCCTAAGGATTGCTTCATCTCGCAACCCTTCTGACCAGAATGGATTCCAGTTGGAGGGTCCTAGAGCCGTTGGGGGTCCTGAAGGAAGGACCATAGCCCCTGCAGCAGCAGGGATGTCTTCTATTGCTCGCAGGCCAGCGCTTTCGGGTGTTTTCTCCGACACCCCTTCCTCGCTCATGGCGCCAGCGTGGGCAAGGAAAACGAAAAAACGCGTCCGAGAGCCACAAACAAAGCGCAGCTCAGCGCAATGCTTGGGCTCATAACCCACACAAGGAGTAGTCGCTCCTTTTCTGCTTTCTCGAACAAAAGGCTACATGAAGTGTATGGTCAACTTCACATCGAAAACGAAAGCTCGGGTTTCCGCTATAAGATCTCTAAATCCGCTCAGTTTTTCATGCCAACTGGACGAAGATTTCACTGGCAGAATATCGTCCATGAGCAGAAAAGTTCCCAGCAGAACAATATAATATACATGTGAAAACCATCCAGAAACACAGCTTGGCAAGTGCGTGGTGAGAGTGTGAGTGTGGATGGGCATACATGGTCTTTGCATGAAGAAGCCATGGAGTTTGGGGAATTTGGGGGATGGTTTGTTGGCGACTTTTAGCCGCAACTGGGCACTTTGGTCAGTGCCCTATTTTTTCAAGCGACTTTGGTATCCACACAGGTATAATGTCGGGCAATGTCGGGCACCCATATTGTCTCAGCAAGATCTCCCTGTTTGACTAGCTTGAACTATATTGCTAATGCCATATATTCTTATATTGCACCCCAATATACCCCAGTGGTTTCTTGGCGGAAAGTACAATGGACCAAGTCCTGCAAACCCTTGGACAACAACATTGTTAAACAAGTCACACTGACTCACACCCAAGTCAATAGAGAAAGGACATGTGAAAGGGCCACCTCCTAGCAGAATCCATGTCCAGAGGTTAGCAGAATAGTACGAATCGGCCAGCCGTCAATCGGAACCACCTCGGACCCGATCCTCCACGGCCGAGCGTCGATCCGCCACGCTCCACCTGGGGAGAAATCGAGGCCATCAGGCTGAGGTGTCTACACTCCCTGCAATCATGGAAGTGGACAACCCCCTCTTGGTAGAGGAAAGTAGTCTTGCAAGCTATGTATGATGCATCCATGTAACCACCCCTGGAGCTCTGATGAGCTCGGGGACGTTGTGCGACCCAGTCCAATGTTTGTGAGCCACTTGGGCAGCCGGCAAACATTCCACAGTGACGGCACTCACTGCAGTGGGATGTGCCATGTCTGGGTCAAGTTGCACCATCTACGCCATCACCATGGTGTCATAGTTCAAATGTGCCACTGACGCACCAGAAGAGAATATAAAATATTATATATTAGATATTATTTATACACTGGGTACAGTACCTTGGGTGAACAGCATGAAAACCTATGAAACCTAGGGATAGGTCCTTTGGGACTTTGGGAATATTTGAACCATTCCGCGGGCAGTGATTTCGCATGCGTGTGCATTGCTAGTCTGCTAGTCCTTCTCCAACATGTGTTTCCTTGTTCTCTCCACCAGGTGCCCAGCTCCTCTGGTCGCAAACATCTGTCCCTCTTGCCGAGTGGAAGTTCGTTCTGTCCCACGCTCCCCAAACATCATCAAACATCTGTCCCATCGTGGGACAACCCATGGTTTCCCTGTTCCATCTCCCGACCTAACCGCTTGGTTGCCATCGACCTCCGTCGCTCCGAGTCTCCCGCCGCGAGGACGGAGGCTGACCTGCTGACGCACCGACGGTGCCCGCATAGATTAGCTTAGCATAGCTTGGTTGGAGGTACAAAGGGATTGCAAAGGTCCCGTCCCGGACGGGAACAAACAGGGATTGATGCATCCAACAAATTCAGACTGGTCCTGATCCTGATCCTGTCTTTATCCTGTCAGTCATTATCTATGATCCCTCTACATTATCAGCATTGCTCCCTGCCTCTGCAAATTTGACTACAAGTTTGATGGTTGCTTGCTATATGACCAAGTGGTGAATATAGCAGGATCACCACAGTTCATTGACCTTCCCAAATATCACCTGGAACATGTTGTTTCGGTTCCCTATATGGTTCCCACCCAGCTTCCTCAGTCGCCCAGTCCAACGGCCAACTGCCGGGCTCCCAACCCAAATTGCCGTGGCTGTGACAAACGAGTGGCAAAAGCCTGACGACGGAGCGGCCGAGCGGACGGAGTGAAGGATGTGTCAGACGGCTGGGGGGGAGGTTGCGAGCGGCCTTTTGGTCCGGAGAAAAGGGAATGGAATGGAATTAATACGCTTGGATTTGCTTCAGGAACTGAGACAACAGTATTCCCTAGAAGGGGATTCAACCATAGACAAAAACATATAAATTCATACAATATCATATAAGTCATCCTGGTCCCAAGAAAAAAACAATACCAAGATTATGATGGATTCATCTTGAGACAACCCAAGGTTGTGTATGATGCGCAGGTGCAGTGAGAGGTCTGGATTGCAACAAACCCAACATGTAGATGATTCCCCATGAGATGTTCAGAAGGAAACAAAAAACAACTGCTACGCCTCATATGCAATCCCAGGTAGAAGTGTGGCATTACGGCGGGCGAAGTGCCAATACGCTGCAGAAAGCGATGAATTCCAAGCAAACCTTTTCTGGTTGCCCATTACCACTGCCTAGAATTGCTGACTCGGAGCTGAAATCCGAACCCACTTTTCAGCTGAGTGCCAAACTGGCACCGTCTCCAGCGGGCTTTGCACTGTGTGACGGCCTGGGCTCATGGGTCTTCATCGGTGTTCAAGGTTTTCCCCGGAGAATCCGACAGTGTTCACATCGCCAGAATTTTCTAACCTTGCGATGGGCTACACCAGGAAGACGTCGAACCATTCTCGGGAAAAAACACATTGCATGGAAGGTGCCTGAGACTTGGTGGAACTTGGTAGAACTACATGCTGGATGAACCAGAACTTGCTGGAATGTTGATGATCAAAAAAATTTGATGGAACATTGCATATTCATGCAAATGCAAAAAAACAAATCCATAAAGCATCTTTAAAAGAAAACAACACATCTAAATACCCAGAACTCTCAGCTTCCTTATACTTCCTCCGTCACCCCAAGAAAAACTGCCATCCCAGTGGCGCGGGAGGTCGGATTGCCATCGAGCCTGGGCGGATGTCGAGCCTGTCTGGGTCAAAACATGTCGTTCAACCGTAAAAACAAGGTACCCCGGTGGACACCTGAACATGAACCGATTCCTCACTCTAAGGGGGATGTCAACCTACCATGGTCTGCCCATCAGGCAGATGCCCGTATCGCCGTATCGCTCGCATCTGGCTAAAACGAAAAAGAAGCCAGCGCCGTTCAAAAGATCGAACGAACAGGATACGACCGAAACACCACCCATGGGAACATCTAAGTCCCTAGAAACGGCCGACCGGGGAGGTGGTGTATGGTGGAGTGGTTTGGGGAGGTCTTTCTCTGGCGGCATAGTCCGTCCAGTCCCATGCAGTGTTTGGAATTCACTCGTCTTCAGGCTCTCGCAGGGGTCGGATGGGCATCTTTTCATCGAACTTTTCTCCCTCCAAAAGGGTGGGGCGATCTCTTCTGTGACCCTGTGCATGAAATCCATGTAGGTTTTGCTCAGATTAAATCAGATCTGAAACCTCAAGTCTTCTTGATGTCCAGCTCTGCGTAGACTCTTGGCACATCATTTGGGCCGCACTTCTGAAAACCAATTGCTAGAGAGGTGAGAGTCCCTCCTTGATTGGAGACCTCCTGCCGACCACAGAACCACAGGAGAGTGTCTCTAAGTTCCTGACCGCACGGCTCGAATCTGCAAAGCGATTGCGCAGGGGAGGGCAAATGATAGACCTTCCACATCTAAAGTCTACTATGGTTCGTTTATAGTGGATGGTTTATATGGACCTTTATACTGACCTCTATATATAAATGACGTCTTGGTGTTTGTGCCATCTACTCTGAAAACACTGTAGTATAATAATGTAGTATAGACAAGGGTTGCGATATATACTCAACTTTGGGCTCAAGAAACAGCACGAGTTTGGGTCAGAACTACCGCACAAACCACATGTCGAAAGCACATCAGTCGCACATGGACGCCTCACATTCCCGTTTTGCAGACCCATGCGTTCTTGAAAAATCGAAAAGACTGTGGCAAGTGGGGGAAAGTTCAAGTGCTTCGGGAGTCTCTTGTTGATTCTGCAACATCCTTGTCCCTCCGAGATCTGGCGTTTGCCCAACCTGAGATCTGGCCACGGCGGTCTTCCTGGGCCGGTCCAACCGGTGGTCCCAACGCTTCGACGGCGCAGTCTGTCTGAGCTGCCGACGAGCTCTGGCCTGCACGGCGCAGGAGGATGCGTGGGAGTTTTGTGACATCTGGGATCTTGGGGAGATTTTCAGTGATAGCCTGGCTGCTTCTTGCAGAATTGCCGTCCCTTCACCTCACATCGAAATCATCGAATAGTATGATTGTTTCTCTGGGGAGAGAGCCGAGAGACGGGACCATGGCCTCTCTGGGAGAAGTTATGAATCATTTACAAGTCATTACCAGTATCTGGTATGCTGAGTCACAAAGCTTCCCAAAAAGGCCATTGGCGGCATATCTGAGGCAACAGGCAGAGTAAATGAGTTGAGGGCGGCAAGCTAAGAGCCATCTGAATACCCTCATGCAGTACTACCCTCAGTCCATTGACCGGACCGCCATACATTCTGAAGTCTCCTGAACAGTAGTTCTTCCACATGAGTCTACTATGCAAGTGCACAATCCATCGAAATTCCGAGCGAACATAAATCGAAAACACGCATTCTGCACAACAAGTACTATCATGCCAAGAAACTCAGTAATTGGTAGTCTTGGGATGTCTTGGAGTCTATTTCCGGACTTGCAGGGAATAATAGTATATCTAAGTATATAACAAAACATAACAAAACCCACTGTCCTTTCCGAATCCCACCGCAGGAACGCTGCACCTGGACTCATCGCTGGGGCCTCCGGTGGCCGACCGAGTGACGGATGGCTTGATCAGAACGGACTCCACACTCATCCAGACCCTTCGCAAAGGATGTTCTACCAATTCTGTTATGTTTTCTCAACGTTTTCTCAAAAAGCCTTCCTTGGTGGAAACGTTGAGAAAGAAAGCATCCGCATGGAGGTGGAAACGAAAAAGAGAGCGGCATGAGACCACTCTCATGTGGTCTCATTGAAGGAGCTCACTAAACAACCCCCTGCTTGTTCCATCTTGATGTCAAGTACATGATCGTTCCACTTTCATGCAACATCACTCAACATTGTCATCGAGACTTCAGGCATCATCTGTATCATCACATCACATACAGTAATAATCTTCACTCGCGAGTCATGACCTTATCATCACAATCACCATCAGTCGGTCATCCAAACTACAGGGATGTGAGCATCCGGATCGGTCCTGCACACATCGGCATCATACAAACCCTTTGGGATCCTTTGGGTAATGTCAACTGTGCCCCCACGCAAGAATAAGCAATTGAGTAAGCGACTCCCAGGCACCCTTGTTGGCCGTCCTATCATCTTGCAACACGCCCAATCTTCAGTTGCAAGCGGATCCGAGCCAGGGTCAACAGTGCTTTAAACAAGCACACAGTCTATATATATATATATATATGTCTAAGTCTATAATATGTACCGCCCAAAACCGGTAGAAATACCCAGAGTTTCACTGGTCACCTGATCCAGTCTGGTCGCCCTGGCTGATTCGCTACAGCGCCCTCGCTGTTTCGGGTCGGTGCTGGTGCCTGACCACGGTGCCTGCACGGATCACGGTGGAAGACCAGCGCCCAATGGGTGATGGTGAAGACCAAGGCCATTCTTGTTGACCGACTGTGACAGGCTTCCTGGGACAAACCCAATATATACTTATCCTGTACTAGTTGATTGGGGGACATTATGGGGGAATACCTCATTTGGTGGGTGGCATCTTGCATGTCAAACGTCACGTTCGGCGTCCGAATGTACATCATCTGACAGAGTCTGAATGCTTGGTACGGCCACTGTCCAAAATCAAGGGTAAGGCAGTTTCGTTCCACCAACTTTCAACCTAGCCTATAGAATAACCAACATGCAAACACACAACAAAACAATAAAATCAAACTTCACACTTGATTTCAATGGCATGGCCTAAGAGGCCTTGACATGTTGTCACCCGCAAGTGGAATGTCAAAAAAACATCTTGGTATGGATGACCTCGCAGCGCTAATTCTTGCGCAACTGTCTGAATGCCACCATTCGACGCCATTGGGGCTGTTTGATGGTCTGAGTCTGTACCAGCACTGCATAGCATGAGAAAAACATGAAACACTAACAAAAAACAGTCATTTTCCGAAAAATAACCGGCCGGAATCAAGCAGCCAGGGTCATGGCTTCAGATTCACCTCCCATAGGATAGTCTATCCGGAATGCACTTGGAACTTACAGTAGTTCTTATTTGGGGTCTTGACCCACACCCATATCACCATAGGATGTTTCGACATTTTTCTACATGATGATATATAAAATTACATGAACATCTGCAGGGTTCTAGTCAAACTGGAAATTGTCCAGGTCAAACCTGCTGAACCACCATCTTGTTTTCGTGTCGTTGGAGACGACAAACGTTGGGCACAACAGCCGACCGGAACTCCGGAGTTCGTAGGACACGTCGAACGTACACGTTCGCACAAAGAAATGCCAGGCGGCTCTAGGCAAACCCATAAGCACTGAATCGAAGAGTTTGACAGGCTGTTGAGACATATTGTTAGAACACTCGTGAATAAAAATAAATATATAGGTTTGTATTTTTTAAGGTTCCCGGGCCGGGATGTTTGACTATGGGGTATGCTTCGGAGGTATGCTTCGGGGGTATGCTTCGGGGTATGCTTCGCGCAGTGTGAAGACTAAAGTAGCAGCATTTCCAGAGGGTATGCTTCAGGGTATGCTTCGGGGGTATGTTTCGGGGTATGCTTCGCCTAAGTCGAACATCCCAGTCCTACATAAACTGGACACCTAAAAAAAAGACAAGCCCATATAATAAGATCTATACAGCGATAACCCGGCTTTAGCCAATCTGAAGAACACAACCTTTTGAGATGGTACCACCCCACGTTGCGCCTCCTCAGGAGGTCCACTGATCGCAGCCTCCCACGCGGGATGCCAATCATGCAGTCGATCGGGTCCATTGGGAGGATAGTGGATAATTTCTCTAGTACAAATGCTTTACAAAATGCATTTGGAAATATATCTGCTTTGTTTGCTTGGGGGCTCTTTGCAAGTTTTTTAAGTAACAACCTTGAGTGCGGTTAGCTTATTTTGCTTAAGGTGGCCTAGGTTGTTGACGAAAAATGGCACTAAGAAAGCTCTTGAAGGAAGCATGAACTGGTCGGTCAAGGTTAAAGTGCTACTCCATCTAAGAATGCACACAACCGCTCAACTATCTGCGTCTCCAGGACGTCAACAATGACAAAGACGTAACAATCTGCAACTGCAATTCGAGGAGCTCCAGCTCGCTGTTCCAATTCAATGCGCTGCTCTGAGATCACTCGACTGACCCACACCAGAGTAGGTCTGCCACTTTGGGGGGCATGACCACTGGATCGTAGGCCTGCAGTGTCCAACAGCGACGCGTCTGTAACTCCGGTACTCTTCGCGAATCAACTGAGCATCGCTGTCCAGTCAGCTCGACTGTGTGCAGTGTTGGGCATCTCTGGCTTTGGCATGCCTTGCGACAGTGTTCGCCGTTGTCGCCGTCGTCGTCGTGAATGTACAAGTCCAGTCGCCGAAGGGGATGTTTTCTTGCACGCACTTTGGGCACGCGGCAACGATTGATGTTAATGTCTCGATATTTTTACAGTAATAGAGCAGCTCGGCATGCGTCGCCCAATTACTGCCCTGCCTGCGACGAGGACGGGGATCTAGCTGCGCAGAAGGTGGTCCTGGGCAACCAAGAATAAGCGGTGACAACACTTACACCCAAGAAAACTAACATGGCACCCCGAAAGACTGTTTTCCTCTAGCTGCACCCGTCGTCGTCTGACGGAATGTGAGCATTCGGATTCATTACCGCTGAAAAAGAAGCGGCCTTGGCATGGTGGTTTCTTCCCGGCCTGAAGGTTGGCATCTTCCGTTTCCTGATAACAACATGAACTCAAACATATCGAGATCTCTTCATCTATCTATAGTCTATCTTAGTGATTTCTATTGAGATCTCATCTCCATCCCTTGTGGCCCACTCCGGTGTCTGCCCTTCGGTACCTTCGGCCCCAGTCCGAGGCGCATTCGAGAGCTTAGGATTCGAACCTCGCTGAGTCGAGCGGTGCCAGGCGCGAACTCAAAGCCAGGGACGGGTACCAAATGGAGGATGTGTTTTTTGCCGAAGAGGCCCATCCGATGGTGGGCTTCATGTCGTTTCTATCCATTTTGGGATATGTATGAGCGGCGGCTTGTATTCATTACTCATTATATATATACTAAACTCAAATACATTCAACTACACTATCAATTATGTGGGGCCCTATCTCGTTTAGAATAGTTACGCAGGAGGTCATGTCACAGTATCTCGTTCAGACTGCTTCAGTGGCAAACAACAGTATCTCTTTCAGACTACTTTAGTGTCATCAAAAAACGTATCTCGTTTATGTGGGGACCCTATATACTAGAGCAAACACTTGAGCATGCCGTCGCCTATTTTAGTAAAGAATGAATAAAAGTGGTTGCTCATATATATATATATATATGTAGTGTAATTGCATGTAATTGCAATACCAAAGAGGCTTTGTGAGTGTGTCCGACCTTCGAAATCTTAAAGGATTATCAGCTCTTTCTGAGTAGGACGCCACAAACCGGATCCTTATTGAACAAAGAAGTGGGGTCCATTGATCTTCTCAGCAGGTTCTTAGATCGACCAATTGCCAGCTACGGCTATCATTGAGTCTTGGCTGCAGCGAGCAGCAAGCCGTGGTTCGTGCAAGCTGATCACAGTCACCAGGAGTTGGAATGATTTGCTGAACCTGTTTGAAATAGAAAACTCCATGCCATGAAGCAAAGACACATCTGTCTTGCTGTTTTCTTTTCAGGTGCCGTTTTAGCCCAATGCGATGGCGCCTTGTCGCCACAATCTCTCAAATCCACTGCCGGGACGTACCACGTTGCCTCCGTCTCTGCGCGAGAACACCCCCGCGTTGGAGGTTTGATGGTACGTCACTGGAGGAACACCTTATACTGTATAATTAAGCTGTCATGCCTAGCCTCAAACGTTTGGCTCAACAGGACAAGACACGAGCAGGATTGCAAGTCAAATCTGCTGAATGATTGGGGCGAGGTATTCCTCTTTGGATTCTTGGGTCTTCATGGTACAAACATGCAAACAATCCAAATCGACGCCAGTTGACGCTCCTCTCACGCCATTCTGCGCCGTTCGGAACACAGGGAGTCTTTCTTCACTTCGATTCGATATTGTTCATGACAACCAGATTCATCGGCCGTTTCATCCCTTTTCACGAAACGACCATTTCACTCGAATCTGTCCCAAGCTCCGGTGTCTTGACTCCGGTGGATTCCGAGGTGGTGGTCCTCCAAGTCCCTGAAGAGGATGATAGGCTGCTCGTCGTTGACCCTGAGAGGTGGGGGAGTGTAGCCATGAACAGTGACGATTGGTGCTGTCGGATGAGATGGTCCAGTGAAACGATTAAATCTATATTATATAGATTCAATTAACTTTAAAACAGCTTATGCTTTTAAGCACTTGTCAGCTCTCTGGATGGATTTTTACCAATACTTCTGCCCAGGTGCCCAAAGGCCAAGGTGTGCCGGGTGCAGTCCAATACCTCAGGCCGCTGATGCGCCGGAGTGAGCGACTCAGTGATGACTGATGCGATGAGAACCCGCATGTGTTTGCAGGATTCGGGGATTTATATACTATGGATTGCTGGATTTCTTGAGTGGTGCTGAGGCAGGATCTTTTTTTTGCAAACAGTAGGTAACAAATTTGCAAACATTCTTTGGATTTGGTGTGCTTGGAATTGCAAATGATCAAATGTGACACTGATATGAACTGCCTTCATCATTGTTGTTGATCCATGTGCATCAAGTAAACTCATGCCGCCAAAGGAAGTCGTATCATCCAAAAATACCAGGAGCACTACCAGGAGCTACCGGCAAAAGCCAACATCCAATCCAAAACATTCTAGAACAATATAATTGTGGTGGGCAGCTATCCTTCAAGAATCGTTCTCAGTTTCTGTCCAACCAATGCTTGAGCCTCCTAGCAAGCTAGGAGCCCCCCCTCTCTCTCATAATATATACATATATGTATGTATATATATAATGCATTTCATAGCTACATTTGTTGAGGATCATTGTGTGCCCATCTTCAAGTGGAGCTTGTCCTCACTCGAATCTCTGCTTTTCTGAGGCAACCCCCTTTGGCCCATTAGCTTCATGCAGATTTGGTTGATCATTGACAAATATAGTTCATCATAGTCAATCATAGTTAATCTACCACCCATAAACTCCCAACTCGCTCAGAATGACGCTGAGGCGGATAACTCATAACCATCATGACGTTGAGAGGGAGTTGGGAAAACCAACTTGGCATCCTACAGGGCCAAGAGACGGAGGAGTTCGAGAAGAGTAGAAGATCTCCTTTGGCCACCCCCATCTTCACCATGTAAACAGGATCTCCGATTTCCTTCGGCTTCCTCACCACTGCCCGGTACAGTGCGAAATCTGCCAAAGCCTTTCTAGAGGCTTTGGGCATTGAAATGGTCGTTTTGCTGATTAAACATGATCAAAATCCAAGGAGATGGACAAACCTGGGGCGGACCAACACATAAACCAAAGCACCCTTAAGCTCATCACTCAACACTCCTGACACCTCAAACATGATGCTTGACCCATGTTGACCCTGAATCCCCTTCGCTTCTCGACCGTCCAAATAGATTGAGTTCTCGACCCTCCTCGCGCCCGAATCCATTCCCTTCTCGATCAGTTCAAGTGGCCACATGGATGCAATCCCCCGAAACCATTCTCCGATCCCCCAAGGGGTGGTTCTGACCTGCGAGGAGATGGGAGGAGAGGAGCTCGAGTGGCTGGTGGATCCCTGTCTCCAAGCAACGTCCATGTCTCAAAGAGTCGGAAATCATTTGGCTAGCTTGAATTAAGGCGACCTCTCAGAAATCCATTTTCTGAGGGGAGGCCCAAGGGATCCGAAGGGTATATTATCATTGGGAATCGACCAATAATGAACAGCAGCTTGCCAGGTCGGAGTCTGTTGGACGCAGCTTACCACGCCCAGCAATGCTGGACCCAGCATTGCTGGACCCTGAGGTGCACTGTGGATGATGTGAGCCGCTCAGGGCCTTTGGACATGTGTGTAGGCAAGGGGGCACAAAAACGTTTCAGATGATGCCGTTGACTGGTGCCGTACACAAAGTCTGTTGTTGGAGGCTTGTTTTAACCAAATCCCAAAGCGCTTTTGGAGTTAGATAACACGAACACTCCATGTATGGCATATAGTACCTACATTGGGATAGTTTCAGGTACCAGTCTCATGGAGTGTCTGGGTTATGTAATGTTTTTTCCCTGCACCGGTTTCACTGGACTGCGGAAGACCGACTGTCCGACGGTTTCTCGCACGGCCTGAGCCCTGGTGGAAAAACCGACTGTCCAAGCAGTACAGCCTGGGCGCGCAAAACAAACCATTTGGCCCGCCACGGGCAGAAACACAAGGAAAACAACAGCAGGATTCATTGTTATTAAGGAACCTGTGACCATCTAGCTATAGACCTCTAACTCTCAAATGGTCCAACAAAGAGATTGTGTTTTGTTAGCCCGACAAAGCATGGTACAAACAAACCAAGCACTTGTGGTCAAACTAAATGCAACCATGATGGTTTCCAGCTAGCAGGAATGGTCTTCAGTGACTGGCTGACGGGTCCACACATGCTCTAGAACCTAGCAAGCGTCTTCTACCCTTAATGCATATCGATCTTCTCCTGTATCACTTCATACACACATTGACATGCAGCATGCCACCCGACCGCCCATGCAGCATAATAATTACCATGGATTCCCCATATCCTTATGGCCTAAAAGCGCAACCCCCCGCCCAAGAAAAGGTTTCTATAGTCAATGGTTTTGGCTATGTTTTTCATGTTACACAAATAAATCTACACATAACTACTGTTGAAACCTTTTTGTTCTCGGGGCTTCTGTATTCTTTTCTTAAGCGTATTGTGATTTTCGTATGTTCCATATCCAATGCAAGTCCTGTTGCACCTCCTTGGTTGACCAGTCAGTCTTCCAGTTGACCCGTCTCCGTCTCCCAAACATCACCCGCAAACGGGCACACCAGTCTTCGTCTCCCTCACCGCTGGGGCGTGTTGCATGTGACCAGAGGCGCGCCAGGCCACGTCGTTGAGGTCTTCCGCCTGGACCACACCCACCTGAGGCGCCAGGCACGACTCGACCGGCGGCTGTGGCAACAGGTGGTGGTTGCCGTGGCGGTGGGGAACGCGTGGTATCAACAAAAACCGTCGCAAAGAGTGGCAACATATGGCAAAATGGTCCAATTCTCCAAAGGAACTGTCAAATATAGATCGTTTGGAGTTTGGAGAAGGCAAATTGTTGCAGGTTGTTTCTGACTGTGGATAAGCATGAAAAACAACGATAATACATTCTTTTGGAGAGTCGCCACTATGCATCTTATCTTTGCTGACCGTGTCTCCAGCCTCTGCACACTGGTTACTGGACTTTGGATGGGCCCCAAGTAACTACTTTAGTATGAAGATTGCATCTGACTGAAACGGACACGGCCCAGATTTCTCGCTGAGTATAGGGTGTTTTCATGTGTTTTCAAGTGTCTGGCATGACAATATCCCAAATGTTCATTTCCAAACAAACCATGCAGTGTCTGGCAAGGCAGCCCGCATGCTCTTTGGACATCTTTGGACCCTGTTGTTCATTGTTTTTCCATGTTTTTTCCACTCTCGGAGGCAACGTTCCGCCAAACCATCTGTCTCTTCCGTGTTGGGGCCTCTGTGCGTTACCGCTGCCGTGCGACGGCCGAAACTCGGGTCGGCTCTGGAAACAACCCCCAAAAGCACCGTCTTGAGGTCACAACAACAACAACAACAACAACCACAACCACAACCACAACCACAACCACAACCACAACCAAAGCATGGTACTTGATTAGGGCTCTTGGTGCACTTGATTTTGCTGGTCCAGAGCTGGAACACCACGAAGCTCCGCGGTGCAGTCGCGCCACGAAAATCCAAGAGCTTTGCGTCTCGGTGATGTCGATGGTCCATGCAAATCGGCCATGCCTGGCAGCTCAAGGCTTTCAGATCGGATGTAGAGGGTCAACGGGTGGGAGCTGGGCCCCAAAATGGTTCCTGCTCCTGAAAGAACATGATCATGCTGTCCCTCATACCATCAAGCATGGCGCCAATCGTTCACGCCATCGACCCCACAAATGTATATATAGGTCCAGGATGGTCCGGGGGCAAGACAGAGACAGGGGCACCACGTCGGTTTCTGCAGTGCCAAGTCAGTATACCTCTTTTTTGCACGATTTTGCCCGTTTTGAACGGTTCTTTCTTTCCGCGTCGAACGTGGTGGCATTCCGAGCCAAGCGAAGCGACAGATTGCCTTCTGTTCACAGCGGGGCGGCAGATTTGACCTGCAGAACCATACCTGCGATGGTTTGATATCTCTATTACATTCTATTACAGCAGTAAACGAGATTCCTCAGGCAATAGTTTATCGTGTCAGTTTTCCTTTCTGTTTCAGGGATGCTTACTTCCTTTCCGAACAATACGAACCGGATCGAACCATATAGCACCATCTCCTCCGAAAAAAAAAAAAAACTTTACTTCGAGTGATCCCCACCATGACATTTCAACCATTTGTCTTGATGCAATAGTGAGGAGCATGTTGCCATAGTCGTTAGTATTGTAGTTCTCGATGTTGCTTGTGGGTCCTCGGGTTGTGTGCTGTGGTTGTGCGCTGTGTTGTGGTTGTGGTTGTGTGTTTGTGGTTGTGTGTTTGTGGTTGTGGGTTTGTGGTTGTGGTTGTGTGTTTGTGATTGTGTGTTTGTGGTTGTGTGTTTGTGGTTGTGGTAGTGGCTGTGATTGTGTGTTTGTAGTTGTGGTTGTGGTTGCGGTTGTGTCTTTGTGATTGTGTGTTTGTAGTTGTGGTTGTGGTTGTGTCTTTGTGATTGTGTGTTTGTAGTTGTGTTTGTGGTTGTGTGTTTGTGGATGTGTTTGTGGTTGTGTTTGTGGTAGTGGTAGTGGTTGTGATTATGTGTTTGTAGTTGTGGTTGTGGTTGTGTCTTTGTGATTATGTGTTTGTAGTTGTGGTTGTGGTTGTGTCTTTGTGATTGTGTGTTTGTACTTGTGGTTGTGGTTGTGTGTTTGTGGTTGTGTTTGTGGATGTGTTTGTGGTTGTGTTTGTGGTTGTGTGTTTGTGGTTGTGTGTTTGTGTGTTTGTGGTTGCGTGTTTGTGGTTGTGTGTTTGTGGTTGTGTGGTTGTGGTTGTGTGTTTGTGTGCGTGTGTGTTTGTGATTGTGTCTTTGTAGTTGTGTTTGTGGTTGTGTGTTTGTGATTGTGTTTGTAGGTGCGTGTTTGTGATTGTGTTTGTGTTTGTGATTGTGTGTTTGTGGTTGTGTGGTTGTGGTTGTGTGTGTTTGTGGTTTTGTGCTTGTGGCTGTGTGTTTGTGATTGTGTCTTTGTAGTTGTGTTTGTGATTGTGTTTGTGATTGTGGGCTTGTCATTGTGTTTGTGGTTGTGTGTTTGTGGTTGCGCGTTTGTGGTCGTGTGTTTGTGATTGTGTGTTTGTTGTGCGTTTGTGGATTTTATCTGGCAATATCTGGTTGAGGTCCAGCGGTGCACACTGCGATCGGATCCTTGCGGTTGAGGTCCAGCGGTGCACACTGCGATCGGATCCTTGCGGTTGAGGTCCAGGGGTGCACACTGCGATGGGATCCTTTCGGTTGAGGTCCAGGCGTGCACACTGCGATCGGATCCTTGCGGTTGAGGTCCAGGATTGCACACTGCGATCGGATCCTTGCGGTTGAGGTCCAGGGGTGCACACTGCGATCCGGAGCTGGCCAGACAAGATCGGCGAAGCAGATTGGCGATGAAGATTGGCGAGGAAGGAAGCAAGGAGGAAGGAGGAAGGAGGAGCTCATCATCCAAAGCCCTCCGCCGGTCACCACGGACACCGGTTACAACCGGTGGCGCCTCATCCGCCGGTCCCCACGGACTCCCGTGAAGCCACTCGAGGAGGTGTGCCGCGCGTTCTCGCGGAGCTCCTACCGTGGCCAGGTCAAACGAGAGAGGCTCCGCTCCTTAAGTAAAAACCCTGTTTATGTTCGGCTTTGCTGTCTTCCTCCAGGGTTTTAAGCTGTTTTGAGCTATGTGAACTGACAGCTGCACTTGACAAAGAAATAATTCTAGATTCTATGACACGTTCTGACAATATGAGGGCAATCCACCTCATCTACAAAATCCGCTGGGTCTGGCCCCGGGCAATAGCATTGCTGTGCTGAAATCATTGATGCAATCAATTGAAACCCTTTCATTCACTTGCTCCTCTTCTCCGTGACCGGACCACGGTCGGTCCCGCGCGTTTCTCGCGCGCGCGTCCACGAATGATCAGTCAGTCAAGGCACGCCGCTCACGGTGACGCGGGAGGTGGGGACCTGGAGCGCTGCCGTTGGTGGTTTGGATCTCTGTAGAACGTTCAGTTCGAAGAACATCCGGCAGGAGCAAAAACAACAAGTTGTGTCTCAGCTAACTGTTGGCTTTGGCCTTTGTTTGTGTGTGTTGGCGTCTGGAAACTTAAGCTGTTCTGAAAGGACTAATACCGTTCTTTTTCTGTCGTTATTGTTGCTTATGAAAGCTTGCTCCAGTGGGTGGTCAAATTTGAGGCACGTTTGTGCTCTTGGTGCATTCTTAGGGCATATCCTTTTCCATATTGGCACGTTTCGCCAAATGTTGGGGCTCTCTTGAGGCTTCTCGTGGGGGTATGTTGGAGGTGATTGGGCCGTGTGAGACTGGCAGCAAAAAAACACCATGGCCTCAAAAAAAAAAAACTTATAATTGTCGGACCTGAGTCTGTCATGGTTTTTTACCGCAAAAAAGTAAAATAACAGCAGCGAAGCCTTCAACATAGATCCCACGGCCCAATCACCTCCAACATACCCCCATGAGAAGCCTCAAGAGAGCCCCAACATTGGGCGAAACGTGCCAACATGGAGAATATATGCCCTCAGAATGCACCAAAATCGCCGAAGATTGGCACAAACATGCCCCAAATTTGACCGCTCAGTGGAGCAAGCTTTCGCAAGCAACAAAACCGACAAAAAAACAAACTGTCAAAACTACCTTTCTTACACTTGTCGAACCTCATTTATTCACCTTACACTTACACTTGTCAGACCTAAGTCTGTCACAGCTTCTACTCTGTTTTATGCACATTACCCAAAAAGACTACCTGCCCAAGTCAAACGGCAGAGAAAAAGCAGCCAAGCGGACCAACATCGCCGCCAAAAAAGAACATAACAGCAGCAAAGCCGTCAACATAGCCCTAATCTAGACCCCACAGCCCAAATCACTTCTAACATACCTCCACAAGAAGCCTCAAGAGAGCCCCAACATGGAAAAGGATATGTCCGAAGAATGCACCAAGATCGCCGAAGATTTAACACAAACATGCTCTAAATTGGACCACCCACTGGAGCAAGCTTTCATAAGCAAACAAAAGCTCTCAAAAACACCTTCCTTACACTTGTCCAGATGTTCGCGATACTGGTTATGCCGCCTGGGGACGACTGCATTATTGACATCGAGCAGGCTTTCATACACAAGCAAAAGACAAAAAGAAACTCTCAAAAACACCTTCCTTACACTTGTCGGACCTAATTGTTTCATTGTTTTTACTTTTGTTTTGGGCGCATTGCCCTTCAAAGCCTTTGAATGCCGGAAAACAATAAATACATCAAAATTTGCCTCCCGTGCAGGCAGTATACAACTTTTTGAAGGCAAATAAGCTCAACACAAACCCACCCGAAGCCACTTTTTTACTGTAAATTACAGTGTTTTATGCACCTTCGAACATGCCAAAAAAAGCCCCCACGGTCTGCAAATCAGCTTTCCCCCCCCCCGCCCGCGTAACCCCCGGTAATACATCCAAGATCTTCCAAGCGCTACAGCGCTTTCCGGCATCCTGATTGCCCCACTAAAAAATAACGCAAACTAATAGACCTATCTCTGTCTCTTGTACTACACAACGCCAAATAAAGATCTAGCACTGTAGTGCCCAACAGTCTCCTGTCAAACCGCAATCATCTGAAACTAGCCACATTCTAGCAGAACCAATGCTTTCACTGGGCAAACCCTACCCAAGCGTCAAAAAGAACAAACTCGCTTGCTTCCATCGCGACCTGCTCGACCGGATCCGGGCGTCCCAGACCCAGGAGAAGAGCAACGAACCCACGCGCTGCCTCGGTGGCAGGGAACGTCCAGTCCGGTCGTTGACGACGGAGCCGACGACGGATCATGTCTAAGAACGGCAAGTCGGAGATTCCTGGCTAAACCATGCACTGCGTTGTTTTTCTCTCGTTTTTTTCCATGTGCATTTTTTTCGAGTGTTAACGTGGATTGATTGGTAGGTGTGGTAGGTGTGTTAACAAGATATCGGTGCAGCCTGAGTGAATCCCAAAGCTACAAGCCGGGAAGAGGTTAGGAACAAAATAACATTTAGAGAGGTCAAAACTTAGTCAAGAAGGACACACACAAAAGACTACAGTAATATAAATAAAAAGCACTTGATGTAGGTCCAACGTCTTGTCAACGATCTCCAGGACACCTTTCGGGCAGTGGAAGCATGAGTGAAACCGTGGAAAGTCGATGAAAGGCGTGGTGAAGTTCGTGGAGGAGAACCACACGCGGAGCAGGTCCTAAGCCCAGCAGATCCAAACTCCAAAAGGAATGTGTTGGTCCCAAGCAGAGTTGGGCCACCCGTCCATCATCGTCCATCTCCAGATGCAGTTCAGTGGATCCGAATTCTTGGATAGAACTCCCTTCAAGCGACTTCCATCGTGGTGAGCTCCAGATGAGTCTCATCTCAATCTCGCCCCACTTCTTTGCCAAGTCACCGGCGCCGCGCCCTCAGATCGAAGGGCGTTAAAACCAGAAAACTGCTCCAAAGACATGAGGTGAAAGACTGAACATCTATGATCTGGAGGCCCCTTCATTTGGAATCAGTATGAACATGTATAGGAACCCTTCCCTCATGTTCAGTCTTTCTTGGTTCATTTTTGGGGAAAGAGTGAGAATCGAAGTACGCTGGAATCGGAACCAAAGTATTGGAACGTCCGATTCAGGGCCTGCAAACCCTGGCACCCGGTGGGGTGGCCACCCTCCTGAGTGCCTGGATCGACGGAGAGCCGCCGGTACCAAAGGCAAACATGGTCACGATACGATCATGGCAGGCTAGCAAATACTCAACACGTCAGTAGGGTAGGCGAGAATAGCTAAATGACTAGTTAGAACATGTTGCAGGTGTATGATTTGTTGCATGGTAAGCCAGTGGATCCACAAGGAGCCTTCATCCCACAAATTTTGATATATGTGTAGCAACTGTATATCTAAGGCCATCGAACCCCAGATTACAGGTTATATCAAAGTTCTGCCTGCATTTGACTCAATATTGTAAATTACATCTGCATTGTGCATGCATGTATTCGATCTGCACATCTGTGCGTGTTTTAACAATCTCACCCACCTCTTTGACATGAACATCTCGAAGTTGCCGACTAATATAGAAAGCAAATATGTTCGAAGTCTACTTAGTATCTTACATCTTACAACCCCCAAAGATTCCTGACTCCTCTGCCTGCTTCCGATGCTCTTGAGTGGTCGGCTCTTGGTCCAAGATACAGAAGTCCATTCGACGTTAAAGACCAGTGATCCCAAGCGCCATACGGTCAGTGTTCATCACACTGACCTAACAGGATCGGTGGTTAGACCCCCCTGGCACCCACCCCAACCATCTTCGATACGGAGGTGGGCCAGGAGCCCTATGGAAGACATCCTCCAACACTCCATCCTCCAATGCATCGTCTCTTCTCGGCTCTCAACGGAGTTTGACCGGTCGAGGTCTCAGGGCACCCCGACGCGGAAGGTGAGCAAACGCCTCGACCGGTCATGCGCCGGATTTGGACGACGCGAAGTGTCCGGCAACCTGGTCGTGGTTAAGGGAACCTGGTCGTGGTATGCCAGTTTCCTCCTGAGGATTTTTGACCCAAGACGTGAAGCTTTGGAAGCTCAATGAGTTATATTTCCCTTCTTCCAGGCAGTTGTGGGACGTCTTCCTATTTGACACATTTCTTGAAGTCTCCTATAGCCATTACCCAGGCACTCCATGGGACTGGCACATATACATATATATATATATATATCATGCCAGTTCCATGGAGGGTTCCAAGACAGTGGGAACTCCGATGAGTCGAGAATTTCTCCAGCTTCCTCCCAGTCACAATGCAGGTCATCGTCAAATGACAGCAGTTTTGCATCGTCAAACAAACATAGTTTCGGAGAATACGATTCTATGTGAGCCTCAAGAAACTAGTGATTTTTTGCACTTTCTAGAAAAACAAACTAAAAGATTAAAAGTACCATAGTTGCATCAAGCATACCTCACTCGTAGCAGGCAGTCTCCAAGAATTCTCAAAGTGACTTCCCTGGATTTCATGTATATATAGCATAGCTACATGCTTAGCCCTCAAGTCTACAATGCTCAGTGTCCAACTCTCATCCTCCACCTGCGTTCGCCCGGAGGAGAAGCAGCCACTGAGGAACCAGGCGTTCGATCGATGTATTGGATGGAGGAAAAACATTTGTTGGATTGAGTGGGTCATGGAAAGGGATACACTTGTGATTTATTGATTGATCTCAACAGATCACCTGACCCCCCCCCTGCGCCCTCTTAAACATGAATCAAACCAATTAAAGCCGGGGGGGGGGGGGGGGCGAAATTTTAAATTCAGGTCTTCGTGTCATTGTGAAGGACAAAGAAAGACAAATAGGAGGCAAAACCGGTAAAACAAGGTACCTGAGACAACTAGCAGGACTCGTACCGGAAGACCCTACCAAACAATACAGGTTATATCAAGTTATTTGATCACTACTCCCTTGCCCCCCGGGGGGGGGTCAAACAATGTAACTTACAATTTTGGGTGTGTCAAAATGCAGGTTTTGGAAAACGATGATTTTTGAACATACAGGTCTAAAATACCTCCATCTGACAAGACAGGGGTCAAAATTGTAAGTTACATGTTTGACCCTCATGTGACGTGTGTTTGTTGAGCCTGTACACGCTCAAAAATTGTAAGTTACATGTTTGAGGTTCAGGTGGATGCATGCCCCGTGACCCTGCTCTGTGGGGTACCTGCCCATCTATTCTTACAATTTTGAACCCCCCCCTGCCCCCTTCTTTCAATGTCTCAAGACGTAGGCCTTTGAAGGGGGGGTAAAAAAGGCAAGATCCTCGTATAGGCTACCTCAACCTTAGATCTAACAATTTTCCCCCCCCTATAGGCCCTATAGGGCTATATAATGCTATCATCGCAAAATCAACAATTGTAAGTTACAAACATGACACCCCGGGGGGTCATGCACCGCAAGGGGGTAGTGATGTTATTTGTGCTCCAGAAGTATCTGGATGAAAGTATGTTTGAACACCGTAATTGTAAATGCATTGTTTTTCTGTGGATGTCGGAGCCAAATGCCTCAAACAAAGTTTCAGAGATTTGTAATTGCATCACTTCATGTATCGTCATGTTTTTTGAAATTGGAAACAAAGAACGACTCTGAAGAAGGATACGTAAGTTGATAAACAAACAAAACACTTCCGAGGCTTGGCTCGTGCCTGGACCCCAAAGGTCCAAAGTACTCGCTTGATATGCTGACGGAACCCACTGATGCACGTTCTCAGCTCGTGAAACTGGCTGCATGTCCAGATAGACTAATCAAGAAATGAACATCGACCTGACAGCAAAGGCCGATGGACTCTTAGACTGTCCGATTGACGACCTGCAAGTGGACCTGCGGTCCTTTTGGGGAACCAGCTAACACGTCCATGGCATGGATTTTCGACGAGAAACACATCCAGAGCATCTGGCGTCCGCCTCAGAGCTGAGCTTGCAGAACAAGGCCTCGCTGTGGGAAGTCCATCAATGAGCAAAGAGGTTGAACTAGGGGCCCTTCCTTCGTTCCGTTTCAGACGTAACTGCTCAAGGAATGCTTTTCTAGCGGCCTTACCTTCAAAAAATCTCTTCTCTGCTCAAGGAATAGTCCCAGTCTGGTCTCCCCAAATCCAGATTGTTAAAACATAGTCATAGTGAAGACTTGTTTGACAAATAAATACATATATATATATAGTCAAATGTATCCACATCAACCATGCCAATTGAGGCGCCACCAGCTCTGTCCTTTCCTTCCTGCGAACCTACAGGAAACACACAAAATATAACAAAATGCGTTTTGAAAGCAATGACAAAACGAATCTACTTCCAAAATGTTTAAGACTCATCAGGATCCCCAATACAGCAAACACCCACTGCTAAGTTGGGTTCTGCATCCATGGTCAATCAGACCATGGTCAATCAGACTGAACAACGACCAACGCTGTAGAGTTCCCGCTGGCCTCGAAGAGAAGTTCAGAAGGGACATCTCCAGTGGTACTCAGCCTGGGACGTTCGGATGCATTGTGGGCTCCAACTCAGGAAGCAGCATCGTGGGCTCCGACTCCCTACCCATCCGATCGAATCCCCTTGGAGATCAACGATCCAAGCGGCCCAAACATCGGCGGCCAGGACCAAGTGGCTAGGTGGACCATGTGGTGACGAAGTGGGGACCATGACTTATGACTTGCCAATGAAACATGTTGAGCCTGAGTGACACATAGATCCATTGGCAACGAACAAAACACGACTTGGCTCATTTCAAAACAGCTTAGCTTGTGGCTTCTTGAGCTTCTCCGTGGACATGTGAGGGAAGCGCAACTGCTCCTGCGGTGCTGTGCTGGTTGATCTGCTCATTCCGCTCGGCGGCACTGAAAAAGAAGTCTCCCTCTCCCGTCTCCTAACCGAAAGACATGAAATGCAGAATCTTCACCTTCGATGGATCTTCAAAAGGTTGAGGCAAACTCAACCTTAGCCGTGGTAGACCTATTCTCGGCCAAGTTTCCCCTCCCTTTCCAAGACTTTATCTACCTATATTTAGATAAATGTTGTTGCATTTTTGCTATTAAACATGCCGGCCCCATTTGGGGCCGCCCTAAGGCCCTTGTGCCTAAGCTAGCACATCAACGTCATTGCGTGCCTCGATTTATACAAATTAGCAAGGAAACTTTGCCGGAAAAAAAAAGAGTGATTCTCTGGATGTTGAGGCATTCATGGGCATTCACTACTGTCACGCTGCAGCTTACACCAACTTGTAAATGGAAGGTCAGCTGAAAGTTCAGAGTGGATTGCACAAGCGCCAATTGCACCATGTTACCTGGATGACCATGATGACCACGTGTGTTCCTTTTTTGGACCATGTATCTGCCCCAATCAAATGCTCGATCTCACTTTCCTTCGGATTCCTTCAGATTTCAAACACCCCGAACCGACGGGTTCCCCCCATCGTCCCCCATCCAAACACCCCTCCCATCGCTCCAAGAAGGGCATGGCCAATCGCCGTTTCTCATCCGCGCTCCCGGAGTTGGCGTCCGACCAGCCTAAGACAGACTGGCCGGCTCGACGGTCGCTTCAGGCCCCACCAGGTTCGCTCCGCTCGACCGTGGATCCCAGGTGGCGCACGAAAAACAAACGTGAGGCATGGAAACCCCGCTCCGTGGTGTTTTTCCTGTGGTGCTCTCGGGTGGTCGTGCTCTGAAAGGGAGGCCCGGGCCGGCCCCGATAAATGCTTTTGAACTCTGAGCTATGGAAGAGTTTTGGGGGTCGAATACACGAATGCCATCCGAAATCCAAAGATCCATCACTTTGGATTGAACATGGAAAGATCCATTCTCAGGATACACTCCCTGTAACAATCCTGGAAGTGGATGGCAATGGATGGCATAGCCTCTTGCATGACTATTTTCTGAATGCCAAACAGGTGGTGCCATCAACTTCCATGACTATTTCAGGGAGTGCATCATAGAACGGCCGTGGTTGTCCATCCTCAGGAATAATACATAGGAACGAAATGGAACAAACACTGACCACCCCGTTTGACATGTTGCATGTCAGTGAATATCAACTTATTCAGGAAGTCCAGTCCATCTTTATATCACAAAAAGCATACAATCTGTTCCATCGGGAGTCAGGGGGTTCACTTGTCTGAAGTCTGTTCCCATCGGCCGGGGGTACGTGGAATATCTGTTCCATGGAATCTGTGCCTGCCTGTGAAAAACGTGCAACAGCGTCATCCCTCTTCAGCTGCAATGTATACTACCCAAAGCATCCATCCTACGGGCTGCCAGACGCATGAAGATGTCGAAGATGTTGTCCTCGTGCAAGTTCCATGCATCATGTTTGGCCTGCTGCTGCAGCGCTGTGATGCTTCCCCTTGACTGGCACGATGATTCCAGCACCATCAAAGGGGTCTCCATTCAGAGTGGGCGCATAGGATCAGCAGTCGCCTGCTGATAAAAGGGAGATGGCACATGAGATGGCACGGCGTTCTGGCCAACCTCAGGTAATATTGTTAAAACAAAATCACCCAAAATACTTAATGCGTCAACACCTTTCTGACATGAACCTCCTAGCCTGCATTTGGGGTTCATGTTGATCTGATCTACACCCTTGGGACCATCCCGGTTCCTCTTAAAGCCTGGAAACACTCTGGCACCGCTCACGGTATCTATACCGGGGCGATGGGACCGGAAGCCACCCAATGGACCTGGACCGGGGCCTCCTGCTGTACACTGGGAGCATGGGAAGGGGAACATGGGCGACTTCCCTCATGTGGAGAAACACAGAATCCGGATCAACCGGTCAATGTCAACCTGCCGATGTGGAGGCTATATGGATGGTCAGTCTGGGTAAGTGTTGAGACAGAGGCTTCCCCATTCTTGACTTCTTAATTGCATTGTCACTAGCGGCTCCTTCAACCTTCTTTCTTCCACCACCGACCCTGGGCGTCCGAGCCAGTTCGATCATCGCGCTCTGGGAGAGGTTGTTGAAGTCCTCGTAGGGTCGGGAGAGATGAACCGGTGTGGTGAAGCCTGAAACCCTGTTGCATGTTCATTTGGGTGTGGATGGATGCACCATCAGTTTATAATGAGTATGAGACCGGTGGATTCTTAAAATCGTGGGTCGTGTGCATCTGCTCTGCTTTTCGACAGCGCCACTCCGCCCCCCACTCGCCCAAAGATGCCATGTCCTCAGACTCCAAGATATGGTCGTCTGTGACCTGAGCGAGGTGAAGGTCAGCTTCGCCCGATGCCCTGCAAATGTGAAGGGTGTGAGTCTGACTCAGCCCTGGGACATAAACATCAAATGAACATCACACATGGGAAAAAAAAGGATGGAACAATTCATCAGCACTTCATCAGGTGACACGTGGTGACATATTTGTCTTCACCCAGTGACACGTGGTGATCACGTACAAATCAGAATGGTGACACGTACTTCGACGCGCGAGCTGCAATGCGTCATGGAGCTGTTGATCGGCGACCCCAAAACGATGACCCTCTCGAGGTATCTGCGGATGTTTGTCACTGTTCTAGCTGTAATGTACATAATATGTACAGTACACATGGACGATGAGTTTCTACTATCCAGTTTCCGCCAGTTTCATATATGTTTCAACCCTGCTGGTGAATTGACTTGTGTTTCTGTGAGGTTCACTTTTGGACCCTTGCGAGTAATTAGTTTCTTCCTTTAGACTTTAGAGAATGTGGGCGGGCAAAGAACTGCAAAATGACTTACGCAAATGACTATAGCGTATCTTTGTCTTGACCTCCAACAGCAGTTTGCCTAGCAACATCTTTGGCCGTCTATATCAAAATGTCACTGTCCTCAGGTCTGAGCAGTCTCCTATGTGCAAACACGCATGTCGTCCACTGAAACACTACGCGCATCAGCAAAGCAACACGCATCAGCTACATGAAGATTCTGAACAGAATATAGTTCGTGGTTTCAGCTCGCTTGAACAAAACTCGTGTGGGGTTTTTACTCATCCCGAGTTTTCAGGTTGAACATAGAACTATATCTGAAACCACCACACGAACAAGACCCCTGGGCCATGTCATCCTGGTCCCCCGACGAACATCCCACCACTATAGGGGAGACCAACGCGTTACGTGACCGAGTGAAACGGGTCAGGCAGCACTGAAAACAGCAATCCTCTTCCCGCTTGGAGGCTTCACAGCCCAACGTCACCAGTTCCACATAGTTCCACACTACCAATCGTGTGGATTTGTCTTGTGATGAGATTGGTCCATACCATTTTCGTCATTTTCTGGGCGCCTTTCCGGGAGCCGACGATGAGCTGGGAACGGACGACTCAGACCGACTCGGACGACGAGACTCTGAGACGTCCAACGATGAGCTCGATGCACTTGTCCACCAACTTCCCAAGGTGATACTGCACACCAATCTGACGCGTGGGCGGTGAGGACGGTTTGGGCCCTTTGGATGGCCTTGTTGGAGGGTGCATGTGACAAGCTGAAGGCGAGTGACCAGCTGCTGAAGCAGTGGGCCTGTAGAACAATTGCACCTGACTTGGGACACTAAATGATTTTGGGCCACTTGACCAAAACCAAGCCGTTCAGATCGATCGAACATTGATGGCCCAATTGCATCGCAAGGCATCCCTTCATCCGTTGGCCCCATGGCTAAGTGTGGCCTATGACGCCATGGCCTGGAAGGTTACCACGGACCCGTGGTTGGAGGAAACACCACGCATCTCCCTTCACCAGGAACAGACCAAACCTGAAACCCACGTGTTGAACCACTTCCTTCCTCCCTTTGTTGAACAAGCCGCAACCCTAGTATGCCCTAGTCGCGTTTTCTCTCTGAGATTTGCCCGCAAGTCTGGCAAGTGAGTCACTTGTCTGACCGGCGAGTGTGCGGTCAAGAACAAGTGCCTTAGCCACAAAGATCCACAAAGGGGGTCAGAAGGGACATATTTGGGAGTGTATTGGGAGTGTTTTTTATCGAAGTAGATTTACTATCATAATAGTTTCTTGTTACTAGTAGTAAGGCCAGGAGCTACTAGTAGCGTCCTTGTTCCTAGTAGCGATGCCCTTTGTTACTAATAGCTTCCTGTTACTAAATGTTACTATACAATAGCTTCCAAGACCAATAGGTGTGGGCAAAAGTTCCTCATCTCCGACTGTCTGGGAGTCCTCTTGGCGGCAAAAGTAGCTTTTCAGGAATCAATCCCCTGGCCCGAGTTCAATGCCCCCCACGTTTACAATCGTAGAAGCTCTTGTTGGTTTGGGAAACGTGTTTCTGTCATCGCTGGAGTCAACCGGTTGCAGCCCAGCAGCGAGCCCGGTCCTTCGTCTTTGCAAACGAAGTACGTCCCCAAATGAGTGGTGTCTGCATCTTAAGCAGCGCATCCTCGTCTTCAGCATCTGCCGCTTCGGCACCGTTCGAAGGTCGGCCATGGAACCAACCGTTTCCTCACCAAGTGCAGGGTCTGCCGTCCACCCTTCACTGAAAAGAGCAAAGCCACCCTCTTGAGTCATGATATTTCAACACCCCATGAAGAGGTGTTGCAAAAGTATATGGATCTGATTCATCGACAGCACATGGTCCTTGAAGTGCACAATTGTTTGCAGGGCAAAGTAACCTCCGACTTGCTGCTGGGAAAGGAAGTAGAGGCATCTCTCGCGCTGAAAAATGTGCAGCACGTCCGCGGGCGCTTCGAACGAAGCTGTGCAATCAAAGTGTGTTGCACTGGGATTGGAGTGCACGACAATACCATTTGGCAGAACATGCCAGCCGGGAACACTCTCAAGCATGGCCGTTCCACTCTGGAAATGAATCCAGAGCTGGCTCGTGGCGCAATGATGTTGGGCGACGATGGAATCCATGGTCTGTTCACAAACTTGAGATAACTCTCTTCTCTCATGCCATGACTCATTTCTCCCAAGCCTTGGCTTTCCTCCGGGCTCAACTCGGACTCTTTCTTCACGGGCTGGAGCTTCTACTTCCACCTGGCCATTCGTCTCTGTGTCCGACCATCACTACTCTCATTGTCATGCACCTGATGGATGGTGTCCTCTGATGTGTAGCCAGGGGTGATGTCTCCTTTCAAAGCTCTTTCCGCATGATCTGTCTCTGGACTCTCAACCTTCTCCTTCTCGATGTTCTCTCAATCTTCACTGCTTTTCTTCTTTGGGCTCTCCACATTTCTCTGCATCTTCAACTCTTTTCTCCTCTTTGGATCCTGCTACTTCTGGGGGCATTGCGCATTCTTTCTCCTCCATGGTGACGTCGTCATCCTCCTCCGAACGAACGGCACACACTTGTACCTCCATCACCAATGAGTTCCTTTCGAGTCTCGCTGGTATTTGAAGGCTTCGTTCACGATGCTCAAGCAAAAGTTCATCTCGATCTCGCGAGAGCACCCATCCTTGTCTCAACAGGCCGAGAGACAGCAAAGGATGCGTCGCCCCTTGACCAAGAGCAAATTGCTCAACAAACTCCACAAGATGCGTCGCCCCATCTTTTGCCGTAGCAACCAACCTGAGTCGACGATTTCCCGACTGAATTCGTTCGCCCTGAGCATCCACCATGTGCGTCCTCGATGTTGGCATTCCAAGAGCATAGAAGTTCTCTGGAGCCACACTCACGTCTGCTCCGGAGTCCAACGTCATGACGACAGTGGGCATTGGGATCTGTACCATGCAAATCTTCTTTTCCTTCTTTTCCTCAGTGGGACAGTTGGTCAGGCTGCTGGTACACCTGCAGCTGGAGCAGCTGGTTTTGCAAGAGCTGGAAGTGGTGGGGGCGGCGCATCACCAGCTCCACCTTTCGCCCCTGCCAGTGACAGAAGCTCGCGTGCAACCGCAAAGGTAGCCCTAATTGTTGAAGATCTGGAGCTGCAATGGTCCTGGAGCAGGGGAGCCAAAAAGGCAAGGAACCAAACCTACTCTGCAAAGGCTTTCACCACTGGCTGGTCCATGTCGCAGAATCGGAACAGCGCCGGTCTGCTTTGTAAGTGATCTGAGGGATGAAACCGCCTCAAGTATATAAATCTCGTGGACGATTTGCGGGATGTACCAGCCGGTGTGCCATCTGTAATCAATCGCTGCCCAGGCGTCGCCGGCGACTCAGCGGTTTTGTGGTCAAGCTCATCAGCTGAACCACATCAAGACCTCATGCGAGCAGTGCTTTGGAGCAGTGCTGAGCACGGACAAAACCTCCCTGAAACTCGTGTTTAGCATATTTGAATATAATATGCATAGTCCTTTGATTTGATGTCCGTTGCTTTTCAAAAAAGGAAGGAAAGATCCTTCATGGTTTGGTGGTCCTCTTGCTTTTCTTGTTCATATTGGCGGGTCTTGCCACTTGAATGCAGAATCCCCAAACCACATTGAGGCACAACACAACATACATCAGCCAATATCAGCCACACACACAAACATTGTTGCGAATGCTGGAAGGTCTTTACACATAGTTGCAGGGCTGAAGAAAGTTTATATGATATATATGTAATGTACATATTAAAAACATATATGCCCACCTTAATTGGTTGCCAAGTGGCACGGTGGTTCAATGTGTCTGCAACAGTGATATTCACGGTGGTTCCCAGGTAGACATGAAGTCCTGATGGCCAAGAGCTCTTATCACACAGGGCACTCCGAAACTGGTTCGCTGGAAAACCTACCAACAGGATCTGACAGGTCTCTCTCAGTGCTCAGTACTAGCTCCAGGTAGTACATTGCTATCCTGAACCGGGAGGATTTGCCTGCAGCCAACTCAATATAGCACATTCTAATTATATAAAGGACTTCTTCTTCTTCTTCTCCTTCTTCGTCTTTGTTGTAGCCTGTGATTTTACTTGGGCGGATCCTGTCAGCTCCCAAAGTCGCCAGCAAAAGAAGTCAGCTTTTGAGAACATCTGATTCTCACCGTCATCCCCTGACATCTGGGAACACCAAGGTAAATTCGAAGATATGTATAACTTGATATAAAAAGATAGGAGTGTGCGAAGCTCGCCCAAGAGACTGCTATTTGATTCATCTACCCTGTGTCTACCTTGGCTGTGGCGATACCCTCAACTTCAGTTACGACGCTGTCCTGACGTGGCCTGACGACTTCCCATCTGTCGCACTTGGAGCGACCCCAGTCTCCCAGCCTGAAGGACCAAAGAAGTGATACACGGGTGGGTTGTCACTGGAAGGATTCCTGAGAGGCGCGAGTCGAGAAGACGCGGCCGAAACCTGGTTTCCGAAACGGACACCGAAACGCTGGATGTGACCAGAAGTCACTGTGTGTTTTTGTGTGTTTTGTGGCATGGCTTTCTTTATGATCAGAAGTCACTGGAGTTGCCGCTGTAACTGCGACTAGTGACTACGCGCAGCTGTCACGTTTGACATGTCTATGGAAGCGTTGATTTGTCGATCCTGATCCCTTGTGACATCACATCAATGCTGCCCAAATTGCAATGGAAGTACATATGCTTTTCAAGCATCATATTGTTTCAGTGGTTCATTTGTCTTTCGCAAGTTCAATCCCACCAAGTCGGACGTCTTGCCCCTCCGCAGCTCCAAGTCGTTGAACCCGAAGACTCAACAAGAACACGACGTTGTGCTACTACTCTGCAGCCAAACATTCCCAATTCACCCGTCTGCAGCGTAGTCCCGCTGCGAACCGACAGTTCGAAGCAAGAGCACCGGAACGACAAGAACACAAAGAACACCCTTTTGATCCCTTTTGTTAGAGTCTGGGAGTCTAAATTCATGTATCATGTAGCCAAGTGGTAGACACATTTGTATACAATTGTCGTGTATGATTAACAATGAACCCATACTAGTAATTACTGAATCTCATTGAGATTTACAGAGTGGTCGTTGCACGTTCTTCCAACTGTGCTGGTCTTTCTGCCCAAGCTTCAATTCGGCATCATTGTCCGGCCAGGGGCGTAAAGGATCATGCAACCCTCCCTGGTGCGCAACGCAGCTGAGTGTACAGCACGGCATCTTAAAGGGTCTTGTACAGCCTCCTGGCCGATCCATGTGCAAAAGGAACACATTAATTAGGACTCTCAGGTCCTGAGGTAGCTTCGTGGCAAAGTTTATGACTAACGTCACATACTCATGAGGTGCGGGAGAAGTGATCAGTACCATAGGCAGCCCTTGGTACCAAATCCTCAGAACTCAGAATCATGGATGCCTCAAACCTCAATCCCATCTGTCACCCTTGCGTTTCAAAACTCTCAGACCATAATGATCAAAAAGGGTGAACTCTTTTCGACATTTTTCGACATGTCCTTCAGCGGTACCGCCCACCTGGATACAAGGAACGATGTAGTCCGGATTCTCCAAGCAACCGCCTTCGGGAGAGGTACCGATGCGTTGGTGGAGGTAGAAAAGGCGCGGCATGGGGGGTTGGGTGGCTTGAACTGGCTGAAGTGACAGGTTT